AGAGCTATAGAGTCACACACACACACACAGAGCTATAGAGTCACACACACACACTCAGAGCTATAGAGTCACACACACACACTCAGAGCTATAGAGTCACACACACACACACTCAGAGCTATAGAGTCACACACACACACACTGAGCTATAGAGTCACACACACACTCAGAGCTATAGAGTCACACACACACACACTCAGAGCTATAGAGTCACACACACACTCAGAGCTATAGAGTCACACACACACACTCAGAGCTATAGAGTCACACACACACACTCAGAGCTATAGAGTCACACACACACTCAGAGCTATAGAGTCACACACACACTCAGAGCTATAGAGTCACACACACACACTCAGAGCTATAGAGTCACACACACACACTCAGAGCTATAGAGTCACACACACACTCAGAGCTATAGAGTCACACACACACACTCAGAGCTATAGAGTCACACACACACTCAGAGCTATAGAGTCACACTCACACACTCAGAGCTATAGAGTCACACACACACACACACTCAGAGCTATAGAGTCACACACACACACAGAGCTATAGAGTCACACACACACACTCAGAGCTATAGAGTCACACACACACACTCAGAGCTATAGAGTCACACACACACACACAGAGCTATAGAGTCACACACACACTCAGAGCTATAGAGTCACACACACACTCAGAGCTATAGAGTCACACACACACACAGAGCTATAGAGTCACACACACACACACAGAGCTATAGAGTCACACACACACACTCAGAGCTATAGAGTCACACACACACACAGAGCTATAGAGTCACACACACACACACAGAGCTATAGAGTCACACACACACACAGAGCTATAGAGTCACACACACACACAGAGCTATAGAGTCACACACACACACAGAGCTATAGAGTCACACACACACACACAGAGCTATAGAGTCACACACACACACTCAGAGCTATAGAGTCACACACACACACACTCAGAGCTATAGAGTCACACACACACACACTCAGAGCTATAGAGTCACACACACACTCAGAGCTATAGAGTCACACACACACACAGAGCTATAGAGTCACACACACACACACAGAGCTATAGAGTCACACACACACACAGAGCTATAGAGTCACACACACACACACAGAGCTATAGAGTCACACACACACACTCAGAGCTATAGAGTCACACACACACACAGAGCTATAGAGTCACACACACACACACAGAGCTATAGAGTCACACACACACACAGAGCTATAGAGTCACACACACACACAGAGCTATAGAGTCACACACACACACAGAGCTATAGAGTCACACACACACACACAGAGCTATAGAGTCACACACACACACTCAGAGCTATAGAGTCACACACACACACTCAGAGCTATAGAGTCACACACACACTCAGAGCTATAGAGTCACACACACACACTCAGAGCTATAGAGTCACACACACACACACTCAGAGCTATAGAGTCACACACACTCACACTCAGAGCTATAGAGTCACACACACACTCAGAGCTATAGAGTCACACACACACACACAGAGCTATAGAGTCACACACACACACTCAGAGCTATAGAGTCACACACACACACACTCAGAGCTATAGAGTCACACACACACACACTCAGAGCTATAGAGTCACACACACTCACACTCAGAGCTATAGAGTCACACACACACTCAGAGCTATAGAGTCACACACACACACTCAGAGCTATAGAGTCACACACTCACACTCAGAGCTATAGAGTCACACACACACTCAGAGCTATAGAGTCACACACACACTCAGAGCTATAGAGTCACACACACACACTCAGAGCTATAGAGTCACACACACACTCAGAGCTATAGAGTCACACACACACTCAGAGCTATAGAGTCACACACACACACTCAGAGCTATAGAGTCACACACACACACTCAGAGCTATAGAGTCACACACACACTCAGAGCTATAGAGTCACACTCACACACTCAGAGCTATAGAGTCACACACACACTCAGAGCTATAGAGTCACACACACACACTCAGAGCTATAGAGTCACACACACACTCAGAGCTATAGAGTCACACTCACACACACTCAGAGCTATAGAGTCACACACACACTCAGAGCTATAGAGTCACACTCACACACACTGAGCTATAGAGTCACACACACACTCAGAGCTATAGAGTCACACACACACACTCAGAGCTATAGAGTCACACACACACTCAGAGCTATAGAGTCACACACACACACACTCAGAGCTATAGAGTCACACACACACTCAGAGCTATAGAGTCACACTCACACACACTGAGCTATAGAGTCACACACACACACTCAGAGCTATAGAGTCACACACACACTCAGAGCTATAGAGTCACACACACTCACACTCAGAGCTATAGAGTCACACACACACACACTCAGAGCTATAGAGTCACACACACACTCAGAGCTATAGAGTCACACACACACTCAGAGCTATAGAGTCACACACACACACTCAGAGCTATAGAGTCACACTCACACACTCAGAGCTATAGAGTCACACACACACTCAGAGCTATAGAGTCACACACACACACAGAGCTATAGAGTCACACACACACACTCAGAGCTATAGAGTCACACACACACTCAGAGCTATAGAGTCACACACACACTCAGAGCTATAGAGTCACACACACACTCAGAGCTATAGAGTCACACACACACACAGAGCTATAGAGTCACACACACACTCAGAGCTATAGAGTCACACACACACTCAGAGCTATAGAGTCACACTCACACACACAGAGCTATAGAGTCACACACACACTCAGAGCTATAGAGTCACACACACACTCAGAGCTATAGAGTCACACACACACACAGAGCTATAGAGTCACACACACTCAGAGCTATAGAGTCACACACACACACACTCAGAGCTATAGAGTCACACACACACTCAGAGCTATAGAGTCACACACACACTCAGAGCTATAGAGTCACACACACACACACAGAGCTATAGAGTCACACACACACACTCAGAGCTATAGAGTCACACACACACTCAGAGCTATAGAGTCACACACACACTCAGAGCTATAGAGTCACACACACACTCAGAGCTATAGAGTCACACACACACTCAGAGCTATAGAGTCACACACACACACAGAGCTATAGAGTCACACACACACGCACAGAGCTATAGAGTCACACACACACACACTCAGAGCTATAGAGTCACACACACACACTCAGAGCTATAGAGTCACACACACACACTCAGAGCTATAGAGTCACACACACACACTCAGAGCTATAGAGTCACACACACACACTCAGAGCTATAGAGTCACACACACACACACACACACTCAGAGCTATAGAGTCACACACACACACACACACACTCAGAGCTATAGAGTCACACACACACACAGAGCTATAGAGTCACACACACACTCAGAGCTATAGAGTCACACACACACACAGAGCTATAGAGTCACACACACACACACAGAGCTATAGAGTCACACACACACACACTCAGAGCTATAGAGTCACACACACACTCAGAGCTATAGAGTCACACACACACTCAGAGCTATAGAGTCACACACACACACACACTCAGAGCTATAGAGTCACACACACACTCAGAGCTATAGAGTCACACACACACACACACTCAGAGCTATAGAGTCACACACACACTCAGAGCTATAGAGTCACACACACACTCAGAGCTATAGAGTCACACACACACTCAGAGCTATAGAGTCACACACACACACTCAGAGCTATAGAGTCACACACACACACACTCAGAGCTATAGAGTCACACACACACTCAGAGCTATAGAGTCACACACACACACACACACACTCAGAGCTATAGAGTCACACACACACACACACACTCAGAGCTATAGAGTCACACACACACACAGAGCTATAGAGTCACACACACACACACACTCAGAGCTATAGAGTCACACACACACACACAGAGCTATAGAGTCACACACACACTCAGAGCTATAGAGTCACACACACACACAGAGCTATAGAGTCACACACACTCAGAGCTATAGAGTCACACACACACACTCAGAGCTATAGAGTCACACACACACTCAGAGCTATAGAGTCACACACACACTCAGAGCTATAGAGTCACACACACACACACTCACACACACAGAGCTATAGAGTCACTCACACACTCAGAGCTATAGAGTCACACACACACACACTCACACACACAGAGCTATAGAGTCACTCACACACTCAGAGCTATAGAGTCACACACACACTCAGAGCTATAGAGTCACACACACACACACACACACACAGAGCTATAGAGTCACACACACACTCAGAGCTATAGAGTCACACACACACACACACTCACACACACAGAGCTATAGAGTCACACACACACTCAGAGCTATAGAGTCACTCACACACTCAGAGCTATAGAGTCACACACACACACTCACACACACAGAGCTATAGAGTCACACACACACACTCAGAGCTATAGAGTCACACACACACACACTCAGAGCTATAGAGTCACACACACACACACTCACACACACAGAGCTATAGAGTCACACACACACACTCAGAGCTATAGAGTCACACACACACACACTCAGAGCTATAGAGTCACACACACACACACACTCAGAGCTATAGAGTCACACAGAGCTGTAGAGTTTTAACACTGTGATCCTAACTTCACACTATAAATGATGACAATGCAGACCACCATCACTGTAGTAATTAATGATAAAAATTTAGACTATAATGCTCTAAAATAATTCCCAACAAGAGGAGAGGTAAAAAGGGAAGCAGTGGATCAAACCACTGTGAGGCTGATGGGGGGGGGTTCACACATATTGTGTACATGTGTATGAGAGGAATGTAATGTCCATGTTTGATGCTGCTCTGACCCCCCTCCTCCTTTCAGGGTGGAGCCTGCTGGAGTCCGATGGTTGAGACCAGGTCTGAGGAAGTGTAAGTGTGTTTTTCATTTGATTCATGAAAACATTCAACCATCTTCAGACTGTGACATCACTCATTCAAAGTGCCAATCAGTGAACAGATGATAGATCAATAACTGCAGCTGGATTCTCTCCATCAGATTCCTGTCAACTCACAATCGACACAAACACAGTAAACAGAAGGATCAAACTGTCTGACAACAACAGGAAGGCGACACTTATGAGACAGGTTCAGTCATATCCTGATCATCCAGACAGGTTTGACTGGAGGCCTCAGCTGCTGTGTAGAGATGGTCTGACTGGTCGCTGTTACTGGGAGGTGGAGTGGAAAGGAATTGTTGATATATCAGTGAGTTACAGAGGAATCAGAAGGAGAGGAGACAGAGAAGACTGCAGGTTTGGAAGGAATGATCAGTCCTGGAGTCTGAACTGCTTTGTTGGTGATTACTCTGTCTGGCACAATAAGAGAGAAACAAAGCTCTCATCCTCCTCCTCCTCTTCCTCTTCATTAATTTCCCGCCTCTCCTCCCTCTCCTCCTCCTCCTCCTCCTCCTCTGGTAGAGTAGCAGTGTATGTGGACTGTCCTGCTGGCTCTCTGTCCTTCTACAGAGTCTCCTCTGACACACTGATCCACCTCCACACCTTCAACACCACATTCACTGAACCTCTTTATCCTGGATTTGGGTTCTGGTCTGGTTCCTCAGTGTCCCTGTGTTCTGTGCAGGAGGGGGAGTCTCCTCCTGGTAGAGAACAGATCAGCTGAGTCTGTACAGGATCACAGAAATCTTTCAGCTTCTTGTAATAAATCCATCAATGAACTTTGTACAAAGTGATTCAAAGTGATTGAACAGATTCCTCATTTCCATGTAAACTTCTTCCACTTCCAGTCCTTTAAAGATGTCAGCTCTGATCATTAAATGGTGGAAATGCCGTTGACTTGGACCTTCTGTCATGTGTTGCTTTGAATTCTGGCTCTTGTTCCAATAAAAGCAGAATGTTACTGTGAGTGTGTTTGTTGTCTTTCTCAGCTCAGGACTACTGACAGGATTCAGCTGGAAGATACAGTATATGGCCAAAGGTTTGTGGATGCCGTTGTCCAGAAAGAAATCCTGTTCCCAGTTTGTTCTTTAGTTTTTTACAGCGTAGCACGTGTTCCCTCCTTTCACATAGTGAGAAATTTATTTGAAATTGCAGTCCTCACTGTATTAGGAAGTAGGTTTTGGTCACAATGTTGTAACATTTCAAAGTAAGAGCTACTAGATTAACAGAGACTTAAACACAACACACATTAATGTTGATCCTACAGGGACCTGTGGGAACACCTTTTGGTATATACATATATTTGCATATCTCAGAGCCAAGAAGTGTATAGTACAACTTTTGACTGCCATTTGTTCTTGTGTCTTTGTACTTTAAGGTATTTAAGGAGGAAAAGGCTGCATGTAGAGAGAGTATCTTGTTGACTTTCCAGGTGTCTGTACAGAAAGAATTGATCCATCACATTTTTGACTCCATACTTCTTCTTTGGGAAGAAAATTTCTTTCTGTACAGACACCTGGAGGGACTTTTGTTTCCTTTGTTTTTTACTGTTTTAGTCTGTTTTCATTCACTGTAATCCCGAACAGTACACTCTAAGAAATAAATCCGTAAAATAACAGAAACAGGACACTTACTGTCATTTAATGGTGTATCTATAGTAAAAAAAACAGGACACTTTCTGTCATTTAATGGTGTATCTATAGTAAAAAACAGGACACTTTCTGTCATTTAATGGTGTATCTATAGTAAAAAACAGGACACTTTCTGTCATTTAATGGTGTATCTATAGTAAAAAAAACAGGACACTGTCATTTAATGGTGTATCTATAGTAAAAAAAACAGGACACTTTCTGTCATTTAATGGTTTATCTATAGTAAAAAAAAACAGGACACTTTCTGTCATTTAATGGTGTATCTATAGTAAAAAACAGGACACTTTCTGTCATTTAATGGTGTATCTATAGTAAATAAAACAGGACACTATCATTTAATGGTGTATCTATAGTAAAAAACAGGACACTTTCTGTCATTTAATGGTGTATCTATAGTAAAAAACAGGACACTTTCTGTCATTTAATGGTGTATCTATAGTAAAAAACAGGACACTGTCATTTAATGGTGTATCTATAGTAAAAAACAGGACACTTTTTGTCATTTAATGGTGTATCTATAGTAAAAAACAGGACACTGTCATTTAATGTTGTATCTATAGTAAAAAACAGGACACTGTCATTTAATGGTGTATCTATAGTAAAAAACAGGACACTTTTTGTCATTTAATGGTGTATCTATAGTAAAAAACAGGACACTTTCTGTCATTTAATGGTGTATCTATAGTAAAAAACAGGACACTGTCATTTAATGGTGTATCTATAGTACAAAACAGGACACTTTCTGTCATTTAATGGTGTATCTATAGTAAAAAAACACAAATGTTAAATAAATCTGTAAAATAACAGAAAATGGACTGGCAGCTCATTACCCAGACTTTGTCCCGTAATTTGAAAATGAAACTTTTCTGTTAATTTATGGTTTACCTACAGTAAAAATAAAACAGATGGATTAAGTCAATATACAGCAAATAGAAATGTTACTTTTCTGTTTGTTAACAGTGTATCTATAATAACTCTTTTGAAAACAATCCAAACAAATCTTGTGTGATTTAAAAATTGTTTTTTATTTACTTATAGATCTACAACAATTCCATGAAAACTAAAACATAAAGAAAAAAACACCAAAGGGAAAAGTATTATAATTTTGTCATCTCTAAATTGATGCCAGTCTGCTAATTCATGCCACATTACAACAATCACATCCACTGAATAAATTACTGGAAAATGTGCAAGGGTTTTGTCAGTGGAACAGGGATTGGGGCAGGGGGTTTCTTGTCTTCAGGTAAGATGAAGGCTGTACACTCTAATTTAAATGCTCCGTACTTGTATAGCGCCTTTCTAGTCGACCACTCAAAGCGCTTTTACACTACATCTGCATTCACCAGTCATACACTGAGCCTAAGTGCTCAAACAGAAACTAGCATTCACACTCATTCATACACTGGCGGAACAGCCGACAGGAGCAAATCGGGGTTCAGTATCTTGCCCAAGGACACTTCGACACGCAAGGGATTGAACCGCCGACCTTCCGATTAACGGCCAACCCGCTCTACCTCCTGAGCCACAGCCGCCCAATTATTTTCCTTTATAAATCTCCATGAAGGAGTTGATAAGATCACTTTAAAATATCACTTTTGCTGCCCAGCCAACTTTTGGTACCTGTGCCTTTTATTATGGAGATGTAGCCAACCAAACCGCTTGCTTTGCAGTAGCACAGGCTGCCAAAACAATCTGATGAATCTGACACAAGAAATAATAACATTTACCTGACGCTTTTATCCAAAGTGACTTACAATTGCTATACATGTCAGAGGTCGCACGCCTCTGGAGCAACTAAGGGTTAAGTGTCTTGCTCAAGGACACAATGGTGGATGCCTCACAGCGGGAATAGAACCCAGGTCACCCAAAAGGCAAGCATCTTATCTGTGTTCCATCACCACCCAAATAACACACCAAATGTTAAATTATGTATGCGAGTGTGCAGCCTTTGAAGTCAACAAAATATATTATATATTTTTAAAAACGTAAAACTCTATCAAAGCATCCGAATATCCTTCAAAATAAAAGCACGAGACTATCACTGTATGCCTGGCTTATTGTGAGGCCAGCTTTTATTTCAAAGGCTGCAACGCTGAAACGGAAATAAGGCACAGACAAGCGCCTTTGCTTGATAATTTATCAGTTGTGCGATGTCTCAGTTAATATCTGCCCATATATTTGCCATGATTTAAGTTGTCAAAAAATTAAACATGTTAAATAATCTAACTAACGACAGGATCGACGCCCGGGAGAAAAGAGATTAACATACAATGAACTGCCGATTCTGTCCCCCTCCCTCATCGTTCACCCAGCTTAAACAGTCACACACACATATGGCAGACCTGCCTGCAGCAAGCAACAGTTAATTTAACCTTACTAACGAACGTGAATGTTGGATTAGGGTTTTCGCTCACTCAAAATGACCCAGAATTACTTTAAAAGAGAGCCTTCATTAAACGTTCAGCCCCCAAAAAGACACAACTAATGTCGCACATCAACACGTTATCATTAGCTAAACACGTATCAACCACAGCCGGACTATTAACTGTTAACGTTTGCTACTTACAAAACCAAGAAAACATTAACATTAACTTCCATGACATTTCAAAATTACCTATTACACGCAAAGTGGGGCTGGAGATGAAATTTTTGCTCGTTCACAGCCAGCTCGTTCACATTCAGAGGAGACGGGGCGTTTTTTTTTTTTTTAATAGCAGTCAAACTACCACTCCAAATAAAAATACTGACAATCGTTCCGTAAATTCACCCTCTGCCACAAAGAATGGAGAAGGGGGACATAACCAAATAATGGATGATATTTTGCACATACAAAAACAAAACTCACACAAACCTGGTCAGTTTTAAATCTTCTGAGAAAAAGATGGCTCTTTAATCTCCCTAACTAAGCGCTGGTTTCTAACAGTAGCTCATGAACGTTAAGTTAGCTAACGTTAGCCATAGCAAACGGAATTTCAAAACGGTAACCTTATAACATTATGCTGCACACAATGAACCTAGGCAATATAACATTGAAAATAAATAAAACAAATAAAACAGTCACTTGGATAACGTACATTTTTCCAAAAAATTACTTACCGCTGAAGTTGCAAATTCTTTTTTGACATTCAGCTTAACAGTTTAACGTCCGTCTCCTGGCCACGGCAGTTGTTGGAGCAGAGATCAAAGTCCCATAATGCAATTCGAAACGTAAATAAACAGAAATACACTCGTAAATCATGTTCTATGGACAATTTCTGTAAAAATATACATACAACTGTACAACTGTTATAATAAACAGCAGCAGAGTGTACTGCTAACTCATAAGCATTATGGGTGAAGCACTCAAAAACAGCTAAGAAGTTCTCTTAACGGGTGATGCTGATATAGGGGAATTATCACACACGTCACACACGTCACACAGGTGCAACTGCGCATGTTGGATGCAGAAGCTGGATCTGCTGCTGACCGGCAACCGCCTTCAATAGTCAGACGTTAGCTGCAGGTGACCGAAGGGCGGGATGTAAAAACGGCGCCGTAAAGTCAGACATTCTACCTGCAGCAGCTCACTGTGTATCTAGCGGCAATTGCAAAGAAAAATACAGCGAGACCGGGCAACAGTGCACTTCCAACTTTGTGCAGCCTGAGAAAAGCAACCTGCTCCCGCGAGGGTTTAATGTCATGTGACATGGTGACGTTTTGCAGCGCCGACTAAAGTCGGACACGAATTCAAACCCGCGTGCCTTGTTTTAAGTCCAGCATGCATCACGTTAAGTCAGCGCTGCGTACAAAGGTCTGAAGTTTTACCGAATACCATCAACTCACACTCCTTTTAACACCAACCGCAGACATCTTTGATTACAAACCCTCAGAAGAACTGACTGGAACGAGAACCTAATTAAAAAGGCCCGACTCTGCAGTCATATCAGCTAAGTTGCGCTAAATCACCGACATCACTCGGTTTAGAGTACTTTACTTTAGTACACTTATCTAACAATAGAATAAAGAACAATGTATGAGTCTGAGACGAGCTAGCTTAAATTACTAGCTAACTTAACGTTACCTTTGTTCAGTTGCGTTACGTTGTCTTGATAGTTATTTAACCTGACGTTTAGCTAGCTAGTCCAGTAAGTTTACCTAGGCTATTTCTGTATTTTCACATGTATTTATTTATTCATAAATGTATTCATAAATTTATGTATTTATTTATTTACATGGTTATTTATTTCTATATTTATTTATTTCTGTATTTCCACATTTCCACATTTATTTTTCTCGGCGCCTGTATGCTAACTGAGTGGGGGGTGCCAACATCAGT